CTGACCAGACGATGCCAAAGCAACCGGATGTTAAGCAGCAGAAAAGTATACGAAATGGTGCCCAAAGGGTTGAACTGGTGTCAAACTAGAGAATAATGCTTGCAAAGATGGTACGGTTTCCAAGAAGAATACGGCTTTGGCTAAAGGTACCAATTCGGCTTAATATTACAGGATACGGCTTATTATTGCGTGCGTCAGCCTGACAGAAAATTGATACCTAGACTGCACTTAAGGTCTGTAAACAGACAGTACTTGGCAATTCTAAACGTGACATAGCAGGCTCAAACTCTTCCAAAAACGCCAAAAACTGACTACTGAGGAAAGGACTGATGCAAAAATGCTTCGTTTTTTGAAGCTGAGCTTAGTTCGTGATAATATAACCTCAGATCTCTGAAGCGATTTTACCGCGAGTTACATCACTAACGACGAGCTGAGTACAACTTTTTATTGTTCCTCAGCCATAAATAATGCATAATAATTTGGTACAAGCAACGAAGGGCAAAGTCCTTTTAGAGATAAAAGCTTAGCAGCCAAAAATAGGATAAACTCTGTTTAAACCCAGTGATACCTCCTTAACAGCGAAAATCAACCCGACAATTAAACGACTTATAAGATACGATCTCAGAAACTAACAAACCTTATTGTGTGGCAAGCCACCGACACGCGATGTGCCAGCGCCAGTTGCAATGATTGTATCGAAACGTCCCCAATTCAGCGGTACATTTTCAGTGTAATAAATCTCTACCCAGACATTCTTGTTCACCCAAAATTCGGGCTTAAATGTTGGAGGACGGAAGATAACGCGCAAGAACGGATTCGAGTCGGGTGCCAGTTTGATCAGCCGCTGCATACAAAAAGTGTCGGTCTGAAAGAACCATCGTCCCACGCAAAATCATCTGCTGATTTTTTGCCTCTTCTGCGAAACGAGGAAATCCTAGCTGTGTATTAAAGCGATTACGATTTCACTAATTTTAACAAACTACTATATGACCATCAGATGCACCCTCCAAAAAAGTCAAAAATCCCTCCGCATCCACTTACTCGGGAAGTAGTCCGTACCAACAACAACTACCCGCTGGCAAGAACAGAAAGACTCACTTCTCCAAGAGTTATGTAGAAGCAAGCTCACGGCAAGTTTTGTCTCCTGGCATGCGCCAGTACCAACTTAGCATTGAAAGAATTTAGGAAACCTACTGATGGAACCAAGTCCTCAACCATTAAAATAAGAGCAACGCTACCAGCCTTTACGCCATGCCCA